TCTGAGAGTTCCGTCTGAAGTCTGTAGTTCAGTCCGTCAGGAGTCTGTCAGTCAGTCAGAGCGAGTCAGTCAGTCGAGTCAGAGGCAGTCCGAAACAGAGTCGCATTCAGACAATTACTACTAAACCTGATTGTTCGTACTAACACTTTCTACTTCTCTGTATATATTCCTGTTTGTAATATATCTGTGTTATTCCATATCCGTATTCGAGTTCTTCTTTATTGGTTCTACCTTGGACTATCACCGTAGTACAAGGAACCAGACCATAACAGAATATAATCTAAAAAAATGAGTTTTTTAAATACCCATACATAAGTAAATCAAATACTACAACAATCCTACTCCAATGTAGCTACTTTCCATATTTATAAGTAGGAAAAGTCCAGTGTCTCGTTATTAGGGAAGAGCAGGAAGTATATTGGGTCCTACTGTGCAGTATTTTGTAATCATGTTCACTCTAACAAAATTCGAGTAATAGTTTCACTTTTGTTTAGAGATGGATTTCATGGATCACTTTCAATCAGTAAATTTTGCAGCAAAATCACAAAAGCTATTTTCTAACGAATGCGAACTCATTTTTCGAACCCTGTTTCTCGCCTTTATGAACAGATATACAAATAAGTAAAATCGGTTGCTCTACTAATAGGACATCAAAGCTACTCAGCTTGATAGAGATCGACTACACACGTTTAAGCTCTAAAGGCACAAAACAAGCATCATCAATTCAGTTAATCGATTGAGGCAACAGATCATTCACTTATCTCAGAAACGCTCGTCATGTCTACTTAGACCAAGTTTTTCGACCTTTTCCTTCCTCTTTTTTCCTCTTTCTTACCCTTTGAGATGAATATGCTATGAAATCTATGGATATCTCTTCAATAAACTGTATCCCGTCCTTCGTATTCTCATAATCTTCACTTTCGCCTACCTCCTCATTGATTCAATAATCCTTGTTGAGTGGCTCTTGAGCCTTGATTCGGTGACGCATACCACAGAATAGATAGTCGACAATTAGTACGGTGGAGTAATGGATAGCGGCTCGGATTGTGGAATCAAAGAACAGAGTTCGAATTCCAGTCGAATCCATTACATTCACTTACATGCTAATACTCTTGGGAAAGGTATGAATCCTCTTCTTCATCCTTTCCAGCCAAGCTATGGGTAAATTGCAGAACAGACCAGTTTCTATAGCCTTGGATGGCAACTGGTCTACCGCAGAAAGAAATGGCAACCTACTGCAGGAAAAAAATTGCCTCGTCAGTTATATATCGAAAGATAAATGATCGCCTAAGCGTGTATCACGCATGGCACATAACTGATTGTTACACGTATGAGAGACGATCATGGATCTTTGCAATATGTAAATATATACATGTATAGTATATTCAATTGACAGTTATACACAAAACATGTTTTGGATAATGCATATTGCTGAAAACCGTTTTCCCAACGGTAAATGGATGATAACATTAAAAGACTTTTCGCACAATTTTTTAAAATTTTTATTTTATAGACAAACGGTATGATTTCGTCATGGAACACCGAAACTTTAGTTGTGGAAGAGATTCCAAAAATAACTTTGATCATTGACTCATTCAAAAATTCTATAAATTTATCTTTCAAATTGTCTGTGAGCGACCTGAGATTATTTAGAAAGAGCATCTCAGTAATAATCAAAGAGAAAAGACAAACAGTAAATTGTCTCTTTCTGTCCTGAAATAATAACAGGAGATTCTCAAATATCTAATCAAAGAAAAAAAAAAGGTGGATATATTCCACAAATCTCAATAGAATCTGCTTAAAAAAAAATCGTTAATCCGATCCCTTCCAGAAAACCAGGGAATCACTTGCGACCATTTAAAATCTTTGCAGCTACAGCATAAAATATACATCATTGATGTTCAGTGAGATTAGCTGGAAATTTTATACATAAATAAATGGTAAAGTTTAGGAGAAAAATACCCATTTCTCGCCAAGAAAACATCCGACATTTCATTAGTTGAAATTTCTAAATTCATTTTCTTAAACAGTTTTTTCTACAAATGAGACTTCTCAAGTCCACTAAATGTTATAGCTCTTTCTAGTATTGGGAGGGGTTTCTTTTCAACTCTTGTTTTTGACAATGTGGAAAATTAATATCGTTTCTTGTTTAGGATTGGATTTCCTGTTCTTTCTAAAGTTTTCTCATTGTCTTGCGTCTTAGTGGTATTATGGCGTTGCTTGGGGAGAGTTGATTAAAAAAAGTTGTCTACAGGGCATCTACTCAAACATGAACTAGAAAAAGAAGTTTATTAAATACCCATACATAGAATGGAAAACCAAAGTCACAGTTCAATAAAATTAGAAAAGAAAAGCACGGCATAATACAGGAATAAATCTTTAGTCCTACGTTGCATGTGTTTCTCATTTTTGTTAGGGTACCTCGACGTGGTGTAATGAAAAATAAAGTAATCATAGTAAATACCGATATGGCACGAGTTGCTTCAAAAATATCTCCGACGTTTTAAAGGTTGACAAAACGACCAAAGTAATTGCTATTAAAAAAAATATTTCACGGCTGTTTAAAAAAAAGCTCTACAGGTTTTATAAACTATAGGCACGTGGTTAGGCCGTTTGGTTTCTATCGATTTGTTAGGAGGGTAGCATGTTGATGTTATCGACCTGGAGGAGACGATCCCAGCAGTACCTCTGGAAAATGCCCGAAAACCATACGACGAGTTGGTCCAAGCCTTGTGAGAGAAATTGGGTACCCCTTGGGAGCCGTCGGTGGTTGTGCTAGCACGAAGTCACAGGACATCGTGTCCGAGGGTTTGAGCGTGCTAGCCTTGTTCAGACTGTTGATCATGCTAGATAACGCACTCTCCGACGCTGTAACTAAGGTCTGCTCAGCATAGTTGCAGCATAAGCCACAGGTGGGCTCTGTGAGTGTTGAACAAACACGAATGTGCATGCGATGGAGATTAGCTAGCCGCCCCAGTAGACTGATTTCATCGGATTCGAGTGGCTGCGCCATTTACATTACAGGATTTATTCATTTGTTTTTTGTTTTTTTTTTTAAATATTACATCCTCTAAATTGTGGCCTAAATTTCTAAAATTTTCCATCACTCGGAATTTCAAGTACTTCAAGATCTTCCAGGTGGCTTTCTTTTAATCATTGAACCTGTGACCCTGGAATTTTCAACTCATCGCAGTATCGATTTTCTATCCAGAACAGCATAATTCCGACGCAACATGAAATGAGAAAAAAAAAAAAAAGAAAAGAAAAGAAAGAAAAAAAAAAGAAAAGAAAAGAAAGAAAAAAAAAGACTCTCTGTGTTGCAATTACGGATCCATCAGTCTTAAAAAAATGTTCCAACAGCAAATGCATGTTTTGCACCAGTACAAGATATCCTGGTAACAGATGGTTTCTTTAAAAATGGTAAGACCTTACCTAGATGAAGACGTCATTGCCATCTGGCTAAGTTTACTAGCATCACGAAGGTAACAGTTTAAAATATAGGAGGTATTTCTGCCCCACCCTGCTTGAGGTGAATTGATTTGAAAAAAAAAATACTTCTCGTTACATGCGTTTCTCGTTTTTGTTAGGGTACCTCGACGTGGTGTAATGATTAGCAAGCTTGCCTCGTTAGAATTAATTACGACTGAATGGTGAGTTCAATCCTTCTGGATAACCTATACATTCGGCCTTGTGATACATCTAAGCAGCGCTTTGAAGGTCACCATGGGTTGCTCATTTTTCTTGTTACTATCGTTGAAAGTATTCATGTTTTGTGGGTTGATTATTTTGTTTTTGTTTGAGAGTGGTGGGGTTAAATCTCTTGTAATTTTTCCGCGCCATTATATAGTGCCTAGAGAAATACTGTCTTCTTTAAGACCTAAAGCATTCATTTGCTTGAAGCTGTTTTTAATCATTGATTTGGAAATACGGTTGTATGCAAATGATAGTTACGACATTTTTGAACGATTTGGATGCCATACAAAACATAGAGTCTCTATCTAACGAGTTTATTTAAGAACATGGCTCGTGTTTTCCGGTCAATATTTTTGGTTTCTTGTACCGTACGGGGTTGAAAAGTATCGCAAGTAAAACTTATCCTACGTTTAATATGTTATAACTTATCCATACACCAAAATACCTGAAATGATTAGAAATCATTAAATCCACATCCTGAATTTTTATGATAGATTATGTGTGCTCCTATTCCAATTCCTGAACATAGTTAATTTTCCCTTTAGAAAGCTTTAACTGAAATTGTACTTCTTGGACCATTTGATATATAATGTTGATTTTATCTCTTCATGAAATTCGTGAACCGAGGTTCCACTGTATAAGAATATACAGTGGAACCTCGGTTCACGAATTAATCGTTCTGAAGTCCGTTCGTAATCCGAAATGTTCGTAAACCGAAACTATTTTTTCAATAAGAATCAAATTAGAGAAAAAAAGTCACAGTTCAATAAAATTAGAAAAGAAAAGCACGGCATAACACAGGAATATATACAACACGGCGGGCGACTCAGATATTCTTCCGTTCGGGTTAATTCGGTTCGGGAATATTGTTCGAGAACCGAAATTTTGTTCGATAACGGAGCCATTTTAATGTCGAATTTTGTGTTCAAAAACCGATTTGTTTGCCATGAGAGACGTTCAAGAACCAATGTTGAACTGTACTAACAATGTCTATATGATCAACATATCTACCGTCATCGTCTGTACATTGGTGAAAAAAAATTGTTGATTGATTTAATTTCTACGGCTTATCAGACCTTTGCTGGTTATTTAAAATCAGCAAGTATAAGAATGTTTTAGGGATAATAATTATTTACTGACACAAGTCCTAATAATTAACCCATAGTTGAGGGGAGAAGAGGTGAATTCATACTTTTTCCAAGGTTAGATGCGCGTAAGTAAATATAAGGAAACTGACTGGAATTAGAAATCGACACTCCGATTTCCAATTTCGATCCGTTATCCATTACATCACTTGCGCATCCAAGCTTACAGCACCTGATATTCCCAAGTGGTCCCCCATCTAGGTACTGACCAGTCTCGACGTTGCTTAACTTCAATGATCCGTTGAGAACCGTTGTTTTAACGCGATATCGCCGTAAGCCTGGAGAAACGAAAGGACGATATTAATGCGGCAGTGTTTCAAAATGAGACGACTTACTCGCTTTGAATGCTTTCAATTAAATGCGCCATAGTTTATTTAACCCAAGTACTTTCGATCTTTTCCAAGATAATCTTCAGGGGCAAATTATAAAGACAAAATTTATGGTGACTGATTTTGTCGCAGTAACAATAAGTTTTATCGTTGTAATTTACACCCTGAAGGTAATCTTGGAAAAGATCGAAAGTACTTGGATAAATAAAAAAAAGAAAAATCTCCGCCGACTTCTTTGATGAATTTCATCTTAACATCAAGACACTGGAAAGGATCAGTGTAAAAAAAGTAGACACAATATATATATATATATATAGAGAGAGAGTCATCTACAGATAAACTGTTTCGTTGTATCATAGCTCTGCAGTGTTTCCAGACATCAGATTGCTTCAAGCCGGGGTTGAAACTCGACCGATGTGGCATCAGTCAGAGATCCTACCCTTGAGCCATCGGCACACAGTAGAGAGTAAGGGATGTTTTAGTGTTTTTTCTATACGAAAGAGAACTCAATTCGTACTTGAAAGAGTAATGCATTCTTAGCAGCAGCAGCCACTGTTTTTATTAAATTTACTTTTTTCTCTAGAGAGTTTTATCGAAGGGTTTCCGAGAGCATATATATATATATATATATATATATATATATATATATATATATATATATATATATATATAATCATCCACATACTGACTGTTTCGTTGTATCATAGATGCTTGAAAAATAATGCCCACCGGCAAAGATATGCTTTATTAAAGAGAATGGGGACATCTCTTATGTACTTAAAGTTGTGTTGGTTGATTATGTCATCGAAAGACCGAGATCTACCAATGTAGCTCTGCAGTCATCGTTAGAAACTGCTTTTAGCCGACTTAAACATTTCTTTTTTTTTTTAATGTTAGCCTTTTAAGTTTTCCAAATTCTCTTTTTGGGACGTCCTTAATGCCATCTCTTTCTTTCGTTCTTATCTTATTTTTTCACTTTCATTTTTGATTGTGCTGTGATATTTGTTCAGTTTTATTTTTTTCTAATTTTCAACGATGTGTTCATTTCATTCAATAATTTACAATTATCTCCTCTATTAAAATTATATCTCATTCGTCCAGTCTAAGCAAATCTTTATATTCGCAATTAAAAATTGTTATCTTTATCGATAGTATCTTTTTATACATGCTGAACAATGTTCGAGCATCATAATGATATCTCACATTTTCAAATAAGATACTGTAACCATTTTGAATAGAATCTGATAACATAAACTGATATTTAGATTATATATATATATATATATATATATATATATATATATGTGTGTGTGTGTGTGTGTGTGTGTGTGTGTGTGTGTGTGTTCTGTTTATATGTTATTTTTATAGGTAAAATTATTTGAGTAAATACTCGGTTTATAATAAACAGTATTAATTACATTTACCGCCTGAATGTCCGAGGAATTTCGTAGAAAGTAGGTGTCCTCCGATTTGCTCACCAGAAGCTTCCTCCGTAGCTGAGTGGTATAGCACGTCAGATGATGGCTTCTGTCGGGGATACATATTTTGTACGAAATTCAGGTCGGTAGATATAATTAATAATGTTTATTATAAATAGAGAATAAAATTAAGTAATTGTATCTAGAAAAAATAACGTATAAACAGAAAATATATTAAATTGTCGGACTTAGACCATTTCCTTATATATATATATATATATATATATATATATATATATATATATATATATATATATATAATTATTAATTTGATGATTGTTGTTACTTTCAGCATCCCGACTCGGACTTTCGTAGATGCAACTTCTAGAAATAACCCCGCCCACTCTAGAGGGGTATCATCAACTGACTGTTTATAATTCTCGATCTTTCTTTAATATATGCTCTTTTCATTGGTGCAAGGGTGATTTTTTCATAGTCTTTGAGTGTGTGTGTGTGGGGGGGGCTTGCGTGCGCCGCACGTTCGTGTGTGTGTGCTTGCGTGCATAAGCGCTCTCATTCCAGACCCATATATGTGTACAAAGGTTCAGTTTTTTTATATATATATATATATATATATATATATATATATATATATATATATATATATATATATCGGATGTATAATCGTGCAGAAAACCAAAGTGGGGACAATGAGACAAAGTGTAAAATTTATAAACGATGTGTTTCCCCGAAGTGTTAGGATTTTTTAATGTATTGTGATTTTTGAGGATAAGATGAGCAATAAAGTATATTACCTTATCAGATCCGACGACCGGTTTTTTAATAGGATTAGAGTTTTATTCCTTGTGTCCTGCTTAGGATTGGGTTTCCGGTTACTTTTCACACTTTGTCACTTCCAGTAGCCCTTTGCGTCTTAGCAACATTGTCACCTCACTTGAGTGAACTGATTAATATATATATATATATATATATATATATATATATTTGTGTGTGTGTGTGTGTGTGAAGTAGTATGAATAATATATATATATATATATATATGTGTGGGGGTGTGTTTATGTGTGTGTGTTTTCTGCATTCTGTTAATGATTCTTCTAGTCTCGATGAATTGCTATGAATAATATATGAATGTGTGTGTGTGTGTGTGTGTGTGTGTGTGTGTGTGTGTGTGTAGGGTTGGGTAGGGTAAAGAGATGGCGGTGGTGTGAGTGAGTATGTGGTAGTGTGCGATTATTTGCATGTTGTGAACGTTTAAAAAATTACTCATAAAGATGAAAGTAATTTTTCTCCGAAATGAGAAATATATTATTTTCGTTAATTTTTGAGATGACAGTCTAATAGTCACTATAGTAATAAGACTAGTATTTTAGCCGCAATTAGATCCTCCTCGTGGAGACTAGCCCCTTCATACGACAGCCCGTCATCCACGAACTAAAAGTAGATGGCCAGCTAAGAAGATAAAATGCTCTTCCGAAATAAGTGAAACAAATATGACACACCCAGAGAGTCTTGAACGTACAGTACAATCGCGCTTACTAACTATTGCGTGAAGGTACACTATATGTGCACTAATGCATGTGTGGGATAGGCATGTATGTTCATGTAATTATATGAAAAGACTTGTCAGATTTTTTAAGCATTCTATAGTACACGATGTAGTAATGCAAAGATCACTGACAACAAATATATATATATATATATATATATATATATATATATATATATATATATATATATATAAATACGTGTACATACACGAAGATAACTATACACACACACATATATGTGTGTGTATGTGCATAAATACGTGTACACACACAAAGATATATATATATATATATATATATAAATATATACACACACACACACACACATACACACACACATATATATATATATATATATAGTAATACAAATAGTATATAGTATTATATAGTAATACAAATGTAAAATGTAAAGTAAAGTGATTCAGTACTTCAACTTCGGAATTTCGTATATATATATATTTTGTGTGTGTGTGTGTCTGTGAGTCCGCGTGTCAGAGTTCAGGTGCGTGAGTGCAGGCATGCGGATATATATATATATATATATATATATATATATATATATATATATATATATATATATATATATATATATATTTCAACATAAGATCTTTCAATATTAATATATTAATTAAACCATATATATCGAATATTATACGATGAAACTTTTTAAATCAAAATTCAATAGTGTGTACATATCAGATTGCAAATTCATAGATCCACTATAATTTATTGATATATATATATATATATATATATATATATATATATACATGTGTGCGTGTGTATGCGTGTTTGTGTGTGTATGTCTGTTAGTGTGTATGTGTGTTTGCGTGTGTGTGTGTGACAATTTCGCTAATAAGAAATTTTTAGCGTCACCACATCTATGTAAACACAAATGCATACACATGCACATATATTATATATATATATATATATATATATATATATATATATATATATACATGTATAAGTAATGATATATATATATACATATTACATATATATATATATATAAATATATACGATACATTTATATATATGTACACACGAATATATATATATATATATATATATGCATAAATACTTGTACACATACGAATATATATATATATATATATATATATATATATATATATATATTTATATATATTTATATATCTTCGAGTGTACACGTATTTATGCACATATATATATATGTATCTGTATATATATATATATATATATATATATATATATATATATATATACATATATAGTTATCTTCGTGTATGTACATATTTATACATATATATATATATATATATATATATATATATATATATACTGTGGGGTAACCTTTTAAAGATTACGTTTAGTTCATCTTCGATTAGTGGGAGTTCTATTCTCATTAGATGATCTAAATGCAGCATTTACTCTCTCTCTCTCTCTCTCTCTCTCTCTCTATATATATATATATATATATATATATATATATATATATATATATATTATATGCGTGTTTTGTGCGTTTGTGTGTACAGGTGTGTATGCGTCTGAAATAAATTTATATAATTATATATTTATATTTATGCTTATTGACATAGCAGCACCATCTGAGAAAAAACACCTACTTGAAAAAATTATCGAGAAATTATCCAAATACTAGAACCTGGAGATCGAGATTAACATGTTGTGTGGAATTAAGACTGAGTCAGTACCAATAGTTATCGGATCTCTGGACCCCTTGCGAAAAGGAATGGAATTTTACTAACAGTGTCCCAGGTTACATTAACATACAGGCTGCCTAGAACATCGCCCTACTAGGAACATCCCATGTACTAAGAAAAGTACTATCAGTTAAATGTAAATTCTTCTATAGGGCCTAAGCACCATAGTTTGGACCCGTCTCTACAGGACACAAAGCAGGAAACATACACAAATAATAATAATAATAATAATAATAATAATAATAATAATAATAA